ATGCTAACTAGACAGTTGGAAAGCCAGTCCAGCATACAGTTTCTGTATTTCCCGACTGCACATGGACAAGGGTTTTCATGACACTTTTGCCAACAAGGACTCATCTTGCTGGAGAAGTAAGAAGGAAACAAGAATGCAACATGGGATGTGACTTGGAGGCACTTAGATGAGTGTGGATTAAATGAGCAGATGCCAGCCTGGGGTAGATTTCTGGGGATAATGCCAAGTGCTCTTATCTTGCCTCTGCTTTATGCAATATATTTCGTGTCAACCTGGAATAACAAGTTGACAATATGTTGATATAACACATTTCACTCTCTTCGAACCATTAAATTCACTATCTCATCAGTCTACAATATGAACCTCACTGCTTTACCTGCCTAATTTCTATATTTTTGGATCTAAGATTAAATATTACATCCTCTAGGAAGACTTTGAAGAAACTCTTAATCACAACTATGCCAGAGTCTCATGTTGCATAATCTTGTTAACATGCTAATTTTTTACAACATTAGTCACAGTTTTAATTACCTATATGTACATATATGTCCTCAGGTGCATGTGGGCTCAGCCATGTCTCACTCTTTCCAACCCCATGAACGAGAGCCGGCCAGGCTCCTCTGTCTATGGAATTTTCCAGACAAGAATACTGGGGTAGGTTGCCATTCCTTCTCCGGGGGATTTTCCCAAAGTGAAAGTGAAGTTGCTCAGTTGTATCTGACTCTTTGCGACCCCATGAACGATAGCCTACCAGTCTCCTCCGTCCATGGGATTTTCCAGGCAAGAATACCAAAGTGGGTTGCCATTTCCTTCTCCAGGGGATCTTCCTGACCCAGGGGTCAAACCCGAGTCTCTTGTGTCTCCTGCACTGGCAGGCAGGATTCGTTTACCACTGAGCCACCTGGGAAGCCTGTATGTCATAATATACATAAATATATACTACATTTATGCAAGTATATGCCAGATCCTTTAACAGTGCCCGTCTCTCTCATTAAGCTATATAACCATTTGGGCACAACTGTGCCATTTTGATCATTATTGAATGTGGGCTTGGCAATCAATCTATTTTTTAAAAATGTGAGTGACTGACTGTAGGAAGGATGGTAAAGAGGTGGAGTCACAGATCGAAGTATTTTTTTTAAATGTCAATCTCAACAGATTAAAGCTATGGATTAATGTTAAAGGAATAATGGACAGTGCTCTGCTTCTCTGAGGGGGAAAAAAATGTTTAGAGTTTTAGGATCCAAAGAGATAGTATCCAGATATTACATATCAGTCCAAGTCTGATGACATCATGAAAAAATCAAACACACAAATTAATTAAATTGTTGGTAAATTAAAGAAATAGACTGCCAGTGAACAGATAGCTGATACCCAGATCTTCTTATAGTTGACCATTTCTGTGATCTGTCACCCGCAATACACTTTTAAGTAAGGTATTTAAAACAAGAGCATTTCCAGAGCTAAAATTGTGAGACACACCAAAACCATGCCCACGTGAGGAACAGAAAAAAGGGAAGCAGGAAGAAAATTTACTGGACTGCATGATAAGAGCTCTGTGACTCTTTCATGTAGAAATGGCCCCATTGTGTAGAACAGCACGAATATGTAGACGCTGCACGGGGCGGAGGGGCTTCAGTTGGGCGAGGATGACTCAGCAGGTAGAGAATCCGCCTGCAGTGCAGGAGACGGAGGAGGTGCAGGTTCGATCCATGTGTCGGGAAGATGCCCTGGAGAAGGAAATGGCAACCCACTCCAGTATTCTTGCCTGGAGAATCCCACGGACAGAGGAGGTGAGGGTTCGATCCATGTGTTAGGAAGATCCCCTGGAGAAGGAAATGGCAACCCACTCCAGTATTCTTGACTGGAGAATCCCACGGACAGAGGAGGTGAGGGTTTGATCCATGTGTTAGGAAGATCCCCTGGAGAAGGAAATGGCAACCCACTCCAGTATTCTTGCCTGGAGAATCCCACGGACAGAGGAGCCTGGCGGGCAACAGTCCAATGGGTCTCAAAGAGTCAGACACGACTGAGCAGCTAAGCGCGGGCTTCAGCCATCACAAGGCAAAACTTCTGCTTGAGAACCGGGTCATCCAACAGTGGGACAGGAGAGTCAGGAGAAAATGTGAGTTTCTAAACTTTGAAGGTGACCTGATGTTCAGATACAGATAGGACACTGAAGTAGCTAACAAAGGACTGAACTAGACACATTCTGAGGTCTTTTCCAGCACTAAGAATTCATGAACTGTAGATAACTCTATCATATAAATATTTTGTTACACATCCTGCAGAGCATCATTAAGATGACCTGAGTGTAACTGACTATAGTAAAAATCATTATCCCAAAGCCCTGTATCATAATACAGATGGTGGGCAAGCCTTAGACATCTTTGCTGAAGTCTTTTACATATTATCTTTCTGAGTGACATAATTTTCTCCAGAGTGCAACTCAAATGTTGGATACCAAGTTATTTTCCATAAAGGGCTCTTATACAAAGCTTTTGATCATGAAATAATCTTAAAAGTGAAAGATAAAATGGGAACAAGGGTAACTGACATGTTTTCATAGTATGTTCATCCATACAACAAAGATTTATTGAATGGCTAATCTTTGTGCAACATTAGGCTTGGTTTATGTGGGAGATAAAAGTATAAATAAGGGAGAATGGCTGCCCTGAAACTTACAAATAATAATCATGGTTACCCATTATGAGGTTGTTATTACTACTGACTGATCTTGGTGGTAGAAACTTTACATTAAGATCTCAAGAACTCAGCATAATTATTATCCCCATTTTTCAAATAAAAAACCTGGGACTCAAAGACATTATATATAGCCTAATATCACAGAACTAGGAGATGGAATCACTCAAATCACATCATTTAAAATCAAAACAATTTCGCACTCACACATTGCTCCTCCTCCTCCTCAGTTATAATATGATGTTGAATGTGCTGCTGCTGCTGCTAAGTCACGTCAGTCGTGTCCGACTCTGTGGGACCCCATAGACGGCAGCCCACCAGGCTCTCGTCCCTGGGATTCTCCAGGCAAGAATACTGGAGTGGGTTGCCATTTCCTTCTCCAGTGCATGAAAGTGGAAAGTGAAAGTGAACTTGCTCAGTCGTGTCCGACTCTTACTGACCCCACGGACTGCAGCCTACCAGGCTCCTCCATCCATGGATTTCCCAGGCATGAGTACTGGAGTGGGATGAATATGCTAGGTAACATTAGAAATCATTCAAAACATTAATGAAGTTCAGAAGAGAGAAAGAGGATGAATGAAATGGACACTGCTTGCTCACTGTTGGAAAAGCAGAGTCACTGATGCCCTCGGGGCTCTTGACATTTATTTATGACAATCTCTCATCACCCTAAGCTGGTTTATGTGAATAGCACTTATCAGAGTGGTGCTTCTGGATATGGTTTCTCTTTAAAGCTCATACATATTAAACTAGTAATACATAGTAATTACTTAATTATTAATTAATATATTAATTAATTAATACATATAAAGTAATACATATTAAACTAGGGAAATTTGAATTAAGGTTGAACGTTGCCTCTTTTCCATCTTTTTTAAGATTATTTATTTATTTTGGTGGCTGTGTGTGGGCTTTTCTCTCGTCGTGGGGAGTGAGTGCTCCTCTAGTTGCAGGGCGCAGTCCTCCCATTGTGATGGCTTCTCTTGTTGCGGAGCACAGACTCCAGGGCGCAGGGGCTTCCGTGGCTGCAGTGTGTGGGTTCAGCAGTTGTGGTGCCCAGACTTAGCTGGCCCACAGCACGTGGGACATTCCCAGCGTCAGGATCAACCCGTGTGCCCTGCATTGGCAAGTGACCTCTTCACCACTGGGCCACCAAAGAAGTCCTTTTCCACCTTCTTGAATGAGCTGGTCTTGGAAAAGTAATGGAATGGGTGCCCTGTGAGAGTTAGGACTCTTCATTAGAAGGTTTCCAAGGAAGCTAGATGGCTTTTCCTAGGTTTTACTTTAGCTTCTTAGAAGAGAGGAAAAGCAAATGGAAACAGGTTTGGTCTTTCCGATTCAGCCCTAAACACACAGGAGGGGCGCTCAGTTCTCTGACAGCGTATGATCACATGTTTTCCCATGGCACCACAAGCCAGGAGGAGCCCTGTGATAAAACTCCCTGATTGGACATGGATAGAACACCCGGGAGTTGGGAGAGCTTTGGCTTTTGAGGGTTATGCCCGACACTGTCAACATTAGGCCTATGTTAGCCCTTTGCCCATGGGCATTGGGTTTTCTTCCTTCATCTTCCATCATATCACTAGTTTTTCAGTGTTACATTCGTGTATCTCCAAGCCAATGCCTCAAGAGGCATTGTGTGTAAACCTTTGAATGAATAAATGCTTCCTGTTCTCAACAGCCCTGACTCTCAAGAATTTCTTGACACTTTCTTGTGAATTTACTAAAGCGATTCAATTTTCATTCCACATCTACTGAAAATAGCTTTGAATTCCATAAAATTCTCTGCCACATTTCCTCAAAACATTCTTACACAATTTAGCCCAACTTTTGGCAGTTAGAAGTGAGAAAGTGAAGTCGCTTAGTCATGTCTGACTCTCTGAGACTCTATGGACCATAGCCCACCAGGCTCCTCTGTCCATGGAATTCTCCAGGCAAGAATACTGGAGTGGGTCACCATTTCCTTCTCCAGGGGAATCTTCCCAGCCCAGGGATTGAGCCCGGGTCTCCTGCATTGTAGGCAGATGCTTTACTATCTGAGCCACCAGGGAAGTGACATCATTGGAAGTGAAGTTAGAAGTGAAGTTGTGGCTATTTATGTGAAGAAACTTGTTTAAAAGGGAGGGAAAAGAGAATATGTCTTAATTCTTCTAGTTTCTAACTCCAGTCTTGATTAGATTGTATCATGGCTCAGAGGATGAACTGATGTATTGTTAGTCTGATTCTTCCTTTGGATTAATAATTCTCGACAGAGAAAATCTGTTAACTCAATGTCCTGGGGAAACCGCTCAGTGTGGATGGAATTCGTGTTCCTAGCCTATCCCTCCCAGTCAGAGCCGCGCGCCTTGGCCTTCCTTGGGGCCAGCCTGGTTTATACATGGGTCATCACCAGGAACGTCCTCATTATGGTGGCCATCCAGGCCGAAGCCCGCCTCCACACGCCCATGTACTATTTCCTGGGCAGCCTCTCGGGAGTAGAAATCGGCTACACAGCTGCAGTGGTGCCCCACCTCCTGGCCAACACCCTGCGGGCAGAGAAGACCATCACCCTGCTGGGCTGCGCCACTCAGATGGGCTTCTTCATCGGACTGGGCGGTGCCGACTGCCTCCTCTTGGCCTCCATGGCTATGAATGTTTCCATGTGGCACCAGAAAGAATCTGCCTGCCAATGGAGGAGACAAGAGAGACAGGTTCCATCGCTCAGTCGGGAAGACCCCCTGAAGCAGGGAATGGCAGTCCACTCCAGTATCCTTGCCTGGAAAAGCCCACAGACAGAGGAGCCTCTGGTCCATGGGGCCGCAAAGGGTCAGACTCCACCGACCACAGGGAGTCCTCTGTGCCTCTTCTACGCCTTTTGAATGAAAAGTGTCTACTATTGTCCAAATTGGGAATGGACGCTAACTATCAGATTCAGGATTTTGAGTCTGGGTTATAATTTTTATCACTGATTGGCTTATGACACATGTTTTATTATGATGCCTCAAGCACCTTTGAAAAGTGTATCCTGCAACTGCTGAGTGCAGTCAGTTTAATTAAGTTAGTTAACAGTATGGTTCTAATCTCTATCATTATATATCTTTGTCTACTTGTGTTATCCATTCCTAACAGAGGTAGGTAAAATCCGCAATTATGATTGTCGATTGTCAATCTCTCCCTTTAGTTCTGACAATTTTTGTTTTATTCTAGTTCTTTTATTTCCCTATATTCTGAAGCTCTGTTATTCAATGTAAATATATTTAGCATGGTTATATCTTGTTGATGGATTAACCATCTTATCATTAAGTAATGTTCATTTTTATAGCTGGTAATATCCCTGGGCCAGAAATCTACATCTGATCTTAATTTGTCCACATTATCTTTTTTATGATTAACATTTTCATGGTACATATTGTTCTTCCTTTTGACTTCTACCTGTATTTCCTCGTATATAAGGTATGACTCTTATCAAGAGCATATAACTTATACTTTTTCTTCTTAATCCTGATTGGACAATTTAGAGTACCATGTTTCCATGTGGATTTTATTCATCTGTTATCTTGTTTCTTAGTTTCTCCTCATCAGCCCCTTTTTGGATTTGTAAACATTTTTTTCTATCAGCTTTTTAGATATTTTTTTGTTTCATACTTTGTAGTTGCATTCTTATCATGGCCTACCAAGAATTTTTATAATACTTTGAAGTAAATGGGTAAGAAACTTTGAACAGGATTATTCCATTTTCTGCCCCCATATTGGTGCTCTTATTGTAACATCTTACTTATAAATTCCATCAAACATTTTCATTTTCATTTTAAATAGTCAACATTTTTAAAGGTATTCTAAAAGTAGTCTTCTACATTTTTATCTTAATTTTAAGAATATTTTCACTGAATATGGAATTGTAGAAATGACCATTTTTCTTGCATCTCTTTAAAGATGTCATTCCATTGCCCTTTGGTTCCCATTTTTCTGATGAGAAATCATTTGTGGTTTTGAGGAGGGGGTGGGGGTTACCACCTAAAGGTACATTTTTTTCTCTTTATGTTTGATTCCCAGCAGCATAAATACAATGAATCTAAGGTTTGCGTAGGACTAGGGGGTGAGGGGAAGGTAAGTAATTCATTGTGTTAAAATAAGATGAAATAGAGACTAGACTTGAAAATCCCCTGAGCAGACAAAACCAGTTAGGCCATGTAAGCAAAACGTAATCTAGCTTATTTCGTGAATATAAGTGAAACTCTACTTAGATATTTCCTGGTGTCTCTGATAATCATAAATAAAATTGAAGTCATCTTCCTAAAGTGGTACAACACCTTTAGTCCAAGTCCTCTTTCATCTGGAAATTCCCATTTTAATAACCAATAATTGTATAAGTTAAATGACTTCTTCATTCTCACTGTATAAGCCATCGTGTATTAATAACAACATGCCTCTCTGAGCTTCAAATCACTTTCAGTTTGAAGTCTCCCTTTCTGCTTAGAGTTTCTTGCTCGATAAAATATTTATATCAAGTAAAGTTCTCTAAATTTTCGTTTGACAATTGTATTTAAAACGCATCTGAAATGCAAAATAAATTCACCCTCTTCCAAACACCCCAAAGCCTCATCTCATGATAGCATTAACTCAGGTCCAAAAATCTCATCTAAGTATCATTAGTTCAACAGTCACAAATATCATCACCCTAACTATCTAAATAAACGTCTAGATGAAACTTAGGGTACAAACATGCTAAGATAAAATTCTCCATCTGTGGACCTAGAACTAGAAAACAAGGTATCTGTTCCCAGCATACACTGTGGGGCAGGCATAACAAAACAGTTAAAGACATTTCCATTCAAAATGAGAGAAACGAAGGAAAAAAATGGACTTACTGGTTCCAACCAATTCTGAAATCAAACCGGGCAAAGTCCATTAGTTTTCAAGGCCCAGGAATAATCCTTTGTGGCTCATAACTCCATGCTCTGGGCCCGGGGAATCACTCCCTGCGGTCTAAGGCACCACTCCCCAGCCTCACATCCATCCCTGGAGTCATCTTTCCTTTCTCATGAAGGGGAGCACATGTTTCCCAGGTGGCTCAGCGGTAAAAAAAATCTGCCTTAAAATAGAGGATACATGGGTTCCTTCCCTGGGTGGGGAAGACCCCCTGGAGGAGGAAATGGCAACCCACTCCAGGATTCTTGCCTGGAAAATCCCGTGGACAGAGGAGCCTGGTGGGCTGCAGTCCATGGGGTCACAAGTCAGACGTGACTGAGCACGCACACACGGCACATGTCTGTAGTTAGGCAGTTTTCTCAAATTGTCACCTACTTGCAGAACTTGGGTAATATAATCTCCTTTTCTTTCTTTTCTTTCCTTTTAAACTACATTTAATATGATTCTATTTGATTGGTTAGTTTTTTTGGTTTAAGCAAGAAGTGTTAACTATTATTATGTGTCCTGTGATTTCCAAAATTGCTGGTATGGATAGAAAGGTATGTTATGTGAAGCTCCTGGGAACAATTTCCAGTCCCAGAATTTCACTGCTTCTGCCAGAATCAGAAAGCCACAAAACCCGAAAGATGCTGGCTATAAACTCTTGCCCATAAACTATGACCCATGCGAGGAAAATTGATGACTTGCATATTGCTTTGCTCCTCTCATTTTCCTCTTCTTTAATTGTGGTAAGACCACAGCATGAGGTATACTCTTTTAACAAAATTTTAAGTGCATGATATAGTTTTGTTAACTACAGCCATAATGTAAATCAGCTCTTTAGAACTCATTCTTCCTGCATAACTGAAATCTATACTGATTGAATGGCAACTCGCGGTCTCTCCCTGTACCCAGCCCCCCAGAAACCATGATTCTACTCTCTTTTTCTATGAATCTGACTATTTTAGATACTTCAGATAAGTGAAATCATGCAGTATTAATTCTTCTGTAGCTTGCTTATTTTACTTAGCATAGTATCCTCAAAGTTCATCAATGTTGTCAACATATAGCAAGATTTCACTTTTTAAAATTTGATCAATATTCCATTATATGTATATAGCACATTTTTTGTATCCACTTATTCCCCAGTGGACACTTTGGTCATTTCCGTATCTAGGCTATTGTGAATAACCTTGTAACAAACATGGGATAGTGGATATCTTATCAAGGAGGCCCCATAGAAAATAAATCTGTAAAGATCATTTATATTGTATATACAACTGAGTTAATTAGATACTATAGTTGGCAAGTATATGATCTAAACTTTTTAAAGTTTATTTCTTTAGAATTTTTCTTTATGTTTTAAAAATACTCTTGCTGCACTTTTTAAATCTTTATTGTGGTAAGAACAGTTAACACAAGATCTATCCTCTTAACAAATTTTAAGTAAACCATACAAAATAATGACCTTCTAAATCATACATAAATAGCCAAGTAAATTAACAAAGAACAATAAGAAAGTGCACATTTTCAAAAACATGATGTTGGATGACTAACTGAATCAAATCATCTATACTACTGTATGTCCATCTAAAGTCATAAGAAAATAAAAAACATCCTAACTGTTCAATATTAGGGATTCATTTAATAAATTGTAGGACATCAATACTACTCATATTAAGTTGTCACAAAAAACATGACCGTAAACACTGTATTTGAAGACATAACCTACTGTTTGGTGGAAATCCTACATGCTGTTATTTCAAGAGTGTAAAATATGTTTGTAGGAATGATGTCATCTGAACAGATAGATATATCTGGGTGAGAAAAAAAGCAAAATAAGTCTGAGTATAGTCTCCGTATGCATGTAACTATCCTCCAATTTTAAGAACCAGCACAGAGCTATTTAATTCATGATTGCCATGATTATAAAAGCAAGCTGTCTTTCCTCACATCGACTGCAGATATTTTGGACGTTATGGACAAGTTTGATGTGCTTATCTGGGCTTCAGAAAAGGCCATGTCAGCTGCTGTGGCTTCTGCCCTAGGACACTATCCCTTCTCTTTTCCGGGCGGCTTGTCTGCTCAGATCAGCACCTGCCTAGAGACAAAGAGATCCCTTCCCAGGACGCAGGGGGCCTCTGCACCAGTCACACGTCACACCACTCTCAAGCTCAACCCCCCAGCATCCTCGCCCGGGTTTGCTTTTGTCTCTAGTACTCACCGCTTCTGGCACATATCACATGTTTTTTAATTTATTTATTTTTAATTGGAGGGTAATTTCTTTTACAATATTGGGTTGGCTTCTGCCATGCATCAACATGAGTCAGCCACAGGTATACATACGTCCCTTCCCTCCTGAGCTTCCCTCCCGTCTCCCTCCCCGTCTCACCCCTCTGGTCTGTCACAGAGCACCGGCGTATGATGTATGTATAATGCCTGATGTGTGTGTGTCCCTGCAGCGTACACCAGATTCCCACTGGCTATCTGCTTTACACACGGTAATGTGCATGTCTCAGGGCTGCTTCTCAATTCGTCCCACCCTCTCCTTCCCCACTGTGTCCACCAGTCTGTTCTCTATGTTTGCGTCTCCATCGTGGCCCTGCATATGGGACCATCAACACCATCTTTTTAGACCCCATCACATGTTCTTATCCTTACTTTCTGCTCATTGCCTTTCTTCTCCCCTCCAAGAATATAGTTTCTATGAGGGCAAAATCATCATTTATTTTGCACACTGATATATCCCAAACG